CGAGCGGAGAATTAGAAGACTGGCAGCGGATTTGGCACAGGCCCACAGTCATATTGGAGAACTGACGTTAAGAATCAGGGACTTAAAGACGTCAGCAAAGGAAATGAGCAAAATGTCCGCGTTCCACATTAAAAAAGGTAGAGAAACAAGCGGCCAAATAGGAGCGAGTCTCTTCAGCCATGTGCTCCATATAGTAATCGAAGGTTCTAGGCGACTCAATGCTGCGGCAAAGCGGCAGCCTATTATAAAAAGGTGGCGACGTATGTTTCTTTCCCGGAACAGATATTGCGCGAATGACTTCGGTTGTGAATAAATCCGAACCAAATGAACAGACAGAAGTGGTTCCATTTCATGTAGGAACCAATACGCGGAAACGGCAACCTGTTTACCACCAATTAAATATGTCGAACAAGAGCTTGCCATACGCTCTAAATTTAAAAATGCGACGGTCATTGTTTCCGGAGTTATTCGCCGGAATGATGTCAACATTAGTAAAATTTGAGTCGTGAATTGTGGCTTACTATGGGCTTGCGAGAAATTTGATGGGCTGTTCGTTGATCCTAACCACAGCTCGGGCACGAACACCTAGGACGGGACTGCCTTCATCTCAACTTCCGAGGTGCGATATCTTCACGACCATACGGTCGTATTTACTTGGAAAGTGACGACCGGAGGAAGAGGCAATGATGGCGGTAAGGGCAGTGATGGTTGCGAGAAAGGGAGCGACGCGTTTGGTGACTACTGCGGGGGAGGTGACAACGCGTGTGACCGCAGCGGGAGAGGTGATCGAGTCAACGTGGGAGACGGCCGCAGCGGGGGAAGAGATGGCAGTAACCGCGGCACAGGAATCTAGGATGGACGCACGGATCCCGAACACTGACTTTCAGGTGAGGAGAGGCTTCACTAGATTGTTGCAGGTGAACTGTCGTAGTATAATGAATAAGGAAACCGAATTTTGGAATTTAATTGAAGCAAGTGGTCGCAGGAATATTATAGATTGGTTACACGATATTTAAACTAACTGAAAATATTGAATTAATGCATGCATTTAATGAAGAACTTATAGGAATGGGTCAATATTTGCTAAAGAATAATTTATATTTAAAGATTAAATTACGATGGACATTAGAAATGAGTAAATATGATTATGAAAATCCTACATCTTGTCATATTTGTAAAAGAAATTTAAAGATCATGAATTAAAGAAAGTATGATCATGAACATATTACTGGTGATGTAAGAGGTACATCGGGTAGTGTATGGAAATTAGATTTACGACTTCCAAAATTTATTTCCATTCTACTATAAATTACTATACATATAACTACTATAAATTAAAATATGATTCTATATTAGTTTTAAGGACATTATAAAAACTTACTGAAGATTATGCAGAATTAAAGATTACACCAAATACATCAGAAAATATTTAACATTCTCTAAACAAGAGATAATAGATTGACAAAAAGTTAATTGGATTTCAAACATGTATACATGTCTGATTCAGATATGTAATAAATGTAAAAAACGAAATTATAACTTGTGGGGGAAAGATGATGTGATCAACAAAAAATAATACCGAAAACATTATCTAAGGATGATGTATTGAATTTAGATTTATTGATACGTTCATTTGCATTTATTGATTTTTAAATACAAGTTCAGACCAATCTGTTAAAAAATTAGTTAAAGTGATTTAAGCATATTGCGCTAATTGTAAACCAAAATACGTGAAAGGATCATGTAAAATTTCAACGTATCGATGAAAATTGTAAATAAAAAGCTGACGCATCTTGTAAAATGTGTAATCATCATGTTTCAAAACCAATTATATAGTAATTAATCTGTGTAACATTCAATAATGAAGGTACATTTACTTCTACAAAAGGGTATTAACCGTATGAATGTTGATTATTATGATAAATGTTAATTTGTCAAAATAAACTAATCTATAAATCATAAAACTCATCACTAACCAAATAAATTTGACAAAGTATATTAGGGGTCTTTGTTGAATAATAAACGAGTAGATTTTAATTTGTAAAATTAGTATATGAACATTTTAAATGTAAACATTTGGGAGATTATCTCTCTCTATATATATGTATATGTATATGTATATGTATATGTATATGTATATGTATATGTATATGTATATGTATATATATCGATATCTCTACATTGAGAGAGATATAGAGATATATCTTATTAAGCAACGTGTTCAATAATTTTAGAGAAACAGCGCCATAGTTATCAGCAACACAATTTGTTGATCATGCATCTTTAAAACTCACAGAACAAAAAAATCTTATTTTTGATCAAGATCTAAATGAATTATATGAACACGAAATTCGTGGTGGTATATCTTTGGTCAAACAATTATGCACTGTTATTTATTTGACCAAAAATTTAAAAAAAACTATAAAATTAAAAAGAAAAGGCTTAAAACAGGTCTTTACAATAGTAAAAACATTTAAGTTATATCATGTATGAAGATTGTAATAATTCATACGTCTACGCGTTAAATTAACCATTGCCAATTGGAAATTTTAATAAACAAATAAAAATATTTCCAAACGATGATACTTTGAATTTTGTGATGATGAATGTAAAGGATCGACATTTGATGTAGATTTACGCATTCCAGGTCATTTACATGACACATTTAAAGTTTTTCCACTATGTCGTGATGTTCCAAATTTCAATGTATTATCAAACTACCAACAATGATTTTACAAACAAAGGAATAGAGAATATGAGAATATACCAAAAGATATGAAACTCTTAAAGGCATTAAAAGATAAAATGAATTATTCTATTGATTATAGCGTTTTAAAAATTTGTTATATACTAAGTACTATTGCCAATAAAATTCATCAATTTATATCATATGATGAAAAAGCGTGGTTAAAACCATTATTGATACAAATACAGCACTGAGACAACAAGCAAACAATGATTTTGAACAATATTTCTTTAAACGTATGGTTTAAGCAGTATATGGTAAACAAATGGAAAACGTACGTAAACGATGTGATGTTTTATCCAACTATATGAACTTCTATCCAACTATTTCAAAAACCATCGAGAATATAATATGAGAACGTTATTGATAAAAAGGATGTATTATTATATAGAAAGAAAAAATTTGTTTTAAATAAACCTATTTACGGTGGATTCGTAGTTCTTGAATTATCAGAACTAATAATGCTTAAATTTTATTATGATGTTCTAAAATCGAAATATGGATATCATATGAAACTTCTGGCAACTTCATTTGTAAGTCATATTGAAACGGACAAGATGAATGAAATATGATGATATATAAGAAAAAAATGTACATTTGATACTTCTGTATATCTTGTGGATTCTATACTTTAAAGAATAAAATTCCGGGTGAATTTAGAGATGGATATTTTAGTACACCTATTCCAGAATTTGTAGGATCAATAAAAAATATTCTTTTAAAACGTACTAAAACGCAAACATGGTATGTAATGGTATTATAAACAAAATATTGCTAAAATGTAAACATTATGCATAATATTTCATCAAAAGACCATATACAATAAAAACTAGAAAAATCTCTCTATCTGTATACATTGGCAAGAAATATTTATTTGATCATATTAATACACTACTATGTGAATATATTTACTTATGTATATTTCTTTTAATATGCTTATTCAAATAATATTTATTAACTATACATCCATGAGATATTTTTTCTATGCAATCTTTACGTTCTGAAGTACGACGATCACTTCTACCACTACGATTTTTATGAAATTCTCTTAATTCTCTATTTTATAAACAGAACATTTTTTTAAATTATTTCACCATCTGTGAATATCTGTTTGTTTTTGACGTGATAAATAACTTTTACTGATACATCATATTTACAATCTACTTTTCTCAAGTTTCTGTATATTTTTGTGAATTACATTTGAAAATAATTCTTCATTATTTATGTACGAAAATTATTCACGTTCTAACATGTTTCAAATATCTTTTAATTTTACAGTGATTCATGATATTGCAGAATTGTTTTTACTACAGTCGATATTCAAAAGAGAAATTCAAATTTTCAGCTTTTACTAGAGTATTAAAAAATAATAATATTTATAAACTAATATTATCTTTAAAGAAATAAATTTAGTCATTCATACATCTTATGATGCATCCATTGATGATGGTTTACCTGCAAGATTACTTGATATCAAAATGGACGTTTGTAACGAGTTTGAACCACACTCCATATCATGTTAAAACTCATAAAAATTACTGAACTAATTGAAAACCGTGAATATCCTATTGCTGATACATATAGTAAACGTAAATACAAAATATGTAAATAATAAAATAGCATTGGATCTAAAAACTGATAAATAAGGTCAAGTTAATAGTGTCATTTTACATATTCAATTTGCTAATTGTTTAAAAGAAAACGATATAAAAATCTTTTAAATACTAAAAATTTGAGATGCGTGTAAAACAAAGGATATTATTGTATTAATTTTTGAATGATTGAATGTGTAAAATGGTAAAAACGTGATCTAGCGTTGAATTTGTAGAGTATATGTTGTTTTGTTAAAAATGATATTTTGTTAAAATGGTGTAAATGATGTTTGAAATGGTAAAAATGAAGTGTTTTTAAATGTGGTCTAGAATTCTAAAATATATCTCAATACGTAAAATGAGGTTTCTAGATAAAATATGAATAAATTTGCGTATTTAAATGAAAAATGCGAAAATTTGAACATCGAAAAATTTTGGTTCTGATAAATCGGGTCCAGAATCCGTGTTTTATATACTACTATTTGGAATATTATTTAAAAATAATTGGATCGTAATTTGACTTAGATCTTGTTTTAAGAATTCCCAAAACACGCCGGAATGTATCCTTTATTGATAAGTAATTGCTTCAAATTCACCTACAAGTTAGCAATTCTCTTCGACATTACGATTGGGATGTATTTGATAGATTAATCCATAACAGCATGATGTGCATTACAGATCGTACTACGACAAGCCATAAGAAGAAATATAGTCAATGCTATGACAATACGAGGCAATGTGCACCTATATTAGATATCGGACGTGTCGTGGTCAACCTTTCTAGACATCAACTAACACAGGAGGAAACGACGGTTTTAGCTAAAGGAGGAAACGTCGCCATTATCCCAACTAATTTACCCGTGGAAGATATCATTGCCAGTATCGAACCAGTGATTCGCAAATTGCAACCGGACGTAGCGGAAGAAATTCGACGTGACTCTGCGAGAATTCTTCAACACTCTAAACCACCTGTTTGCAATATTGCCAAAAACGAGAAATCTGCCCTAAACAAATTAAACGGGAATAAGGATATCATTATTTCTGCAGACAAAGGTAATGCGACTGTCATTACGGACACTGAAGATTACCAACAGAAAATCAGGGACATTTTGAATACCGATAACTACAGGCCTCTTCCCAAAGATCCTACGGCTTCTATTTTACGCAAGTCCAATGATCTAATCAAGAAATCTATACCACAGGAACAGAAGTTTCTAAAGATTTCTGAAGCGCTACCTCCTAGACTATATAGCTTACCAAAGATCCACAAACCGGACACGCCACTACGGCCTATTGTGAGTGCTATTAATTAGCCAACGTACACATTGGCCAAGTACCTCTCCAAACTACTACAACCTCACATTGGTAACACAGAAAGACACATCAAAGATTTCTCTCACTTCATTGAAAAATTAAAAGGACTTCGCTTAAAACCCGACGATCTTTTGGTGAGTTCTGATGTCACATCACTTTTTACAATCGATCCAGTATTGGAGACTTTAAATTTCTTAGCTGCATATTTCCCAGAGGATATCGTATCACTGTTTAAACACACACTGACTACTACTTATTTCCAATGGAACGGTAAACTTTATGAACAGACGGACGGCGTAGCCATGGGCAATCCACTGAGTCCGATGCAATGGGTATTAATACACTCGTGTGAAGTTTATGATACATTCGCGTTCCTCGCTCATATCGTAATATCACACTCGTGTATTAACACCCATCATTACATCATTGTTTCATAATGTACTATTACCGCATAGGGAGAAGAAGACAAAATGTTTATACGAGAAAAGTACAGTACTTTCAATGTCTCCACTTAATACTCTTTTGGACATAAAGTCATTTTCATTGGTTTATTAAAAAATACTGAATGTTGAGTTCGCCCTTACTACCCAAAATGCTTCAAATAATCACTTGAGAATGAACAGTGGCAGATAGTTTACCTACACAAGATGATGTTGCCCACTGCAAAACGTAGAGAGGTAAATACATTCACGAACAAAAATGCCTAAGGTACAAAAATGACCAAAAATAAATATAGTATCTGAAATGCAAGTAATCCAGGTAAACATTAAGATTTCTAGAAATAAAAAAGTATATTACTAAATATACTAAATATAATTTATATAAATAAAGAACAGATAAAATATACAAAAGAGGTTGAATTAATGAAAAAAGAGTTATACTCATATTAGAAGGCACCGGGGTCATGTACAGAATTATTTAAAAATTCAATTACAGCTAGAAGGAAGAATTCAGCTGCTAAACACGTCTAAATAATTACGAAAGCCCATTTTTTGGTTTGAACCATTTATGTGTAGACATTTCATGCTCTTGAAATTCTTAGATTAGTAATTTATTTCAATGAATATAGTTTGGGCATTTTCCCAAGAACATTTAGTGTTAGAAATTTCGTCTCCAACCCACCACAGAAATCTCATTCAACATCCTAGTCGCTTTAGTGAAATGCGTAGATATGAATATTCCACTGTGCCTGCACTAACATTTTGTTGGTGACTGAGTGGTGATGAGGACTGGTGGTGAGTAACATTTTGTTGGTGACTCCTTGACCACCGGCAGGCGGCGGGAAACTACCGCAACGCCATTGATCGTAGATTGCTTCACGTTTGTAGACACGTCAACTGACATGGTAACAAGTCCGTTTATGTAGTGAATGCTTTATTCTGAGAGGGATCAATGATTCCTTCCGCGCTGGAGAGCGATATTCGGTGCCATCCTACACATCGTCTTGTAGATTTGTTTTGCAGGTATCTCTCACCGCCCGAGCCAGGACAAGCCATATGCTTCCGCACTGGTCTCCCAACATGTGAGGTAGCAAGTAACTGCATGTGTATGCAGCGCCTTAACTAGGAGCTGGCCAGGGGGCGCCTGCCAGGGGCGCAACCCTCAGGTGGGTGCAATTTGCAAACATACAGCCCGCGGGCCGCTGAGGCATATGTACACAAATTAAAATATTATCATTAAAGGTTATTAATATTTATAAAAACGTGTGAAGGTAAACTAATTTGTAATAACATTGAAAGTATTACAATTTATAATTTCCAAGATTAATTTACATTAGGGTAAAAAAGAAGTCGGTAGTAACCTAAATTTATATATATATATATATATATATATATATATATATATATATATACATACAGCCGCAAGATGTTGCCACAATTGCGGCTGGTATTGGCAGCGCCGTGCAAGTCTGGTTCGAGAGATTTTTTTCTCCTTTCCCCCGCCAGTGACCTGTGCGGTTCGGGAGTTATCTTCCTTTTGGGGTTACAACCATACCCCGCAGCCTGCGATGGCTTATGCGGCAAAAGGGGGCAGAATTACTTACTAACTTATTTCTAACTTAACCTGTGGATGAAGCGGCACTGTTGGGCCGGCAACCTAGATTTAGCACATGACTTTGTCATTATGACTACAAATGCTTATTTGCTTTTTAGTTTCTCCTTGAGATATATATATATCCACCTTCACGGACATTATTTAGCACTTTCACACAATGTTTTCTATTTACCTTGGACACACACGCACTTTCAACGACCACTATACATCTAACACTTTTCCACTATTGTGCGCCACGCGCGCGATTTGCTCCAAGCGTCCGTAGGCGGCTAGGCACAATGTCCCTGGCAATTGTACGCGGGCGGGGCCCTCACTCGTCCCGCTGGCGAGCCTCACCGCGTTGCTTCGCAGAGTTTGCGAGAAGCTGCCGGCGGTAGCTGCCGCGAACGCGGCGGTCACTTTGCTTGGGCCCTCGGGCAAAATACGTCGGTGGACCTCAGCAGTTGGCTGCCGGCCGGCTTTTTTCGCGCAAGAAGCTCGGATCTTTCGGCCCCAGCGCCCGGTGAGTGCCGTGTGTGCCCTCGGCGGATCTCCTCCGGCAGCTGACCGACTCCAGCCCAAGGTCCGTAGGTTACTGTGTCCTATGGTGGCGGTTAGGAGGAGGAGGGAGATGCGGCGCGTGCGGTCTCACCGCTCGCTCTAGGCTGCCCAAATCGGGCCGTAGGGTCGAGACCCGGCGCTGCCTAGGCAAAAGGTTTTGCAAGCATCAGGTCCCATAAACTGTGTATGCGGCGGTGAAAAGGAGACGCGCTTCTGCGAGAGAGATAGGTCCGGGGAGCTAAGGAGAGGACGTAGGAGGGAGGTCCTAGCAAGTAATTTTGAGGCGAAGGCTCCCTTTGGGCGTGCTCGTGCCAATAGATGGCACGATCTACGTCACGCAAGGTACCCGTCGCGGCAACTGGCGGACGCAAGGGAATTGACGCGCCGCAAGCAACATTTGTTCACCTCGGGGTCCTGCCCCTCCTGACGGTGAAGTTAACGGCACGCATTTTTCAAGGTTTAGGGGTAGGCCGTTTCTGGCGTAGCCAGGTGGGAAAGGCGCGCGAGGCATTTCATTCAGCGTATCTCAAATGCTTGCTGCTGTTCGCCGATTTCGCGTAATACGCAAAAGTCGTCGCTTGAACATCCCCGGAGCCGCAACGTCTGACTTCCCGTTCTTCTTTCTGCTATCAGAGGCGATCATTGACGCGTACAAGCCGAGGTCGGGCGAGAGTACGCTTCCCTGTGGAACTCCGCTTCCGGCGCGTCTTAAGGATGATTGTACGCCGTTAATCGCACTCTGAACGTTCTTCTCTTGTGGAGAAAACTACCGATACCTGGGGTAGCAGTCGTTATCCCTGACTCAATGAGAACATAAGGGAGTGCTCCTGCTGCACCCGTGTCGAAGGCCGACGCATGTCCCGGAAAGCACGGGCTAGGCAGATTCTGCGCATCTCGAGAGAGAGGCCGATCTGGGTGGGCAGAGGCGCGTCAACTGCTGCGGTGGAGCTCTGAACCCCGTTCTGAAACCGAATTGTTTCGTGCTCGGAGAAGACCTAGACGCGTATTTCCCTGCTGGAAGCGCAACCATA